GCAACATATCAAAGGGCGATGGTGACACTTTTTCATGATATGATGCACAAGGAGATTGAGGTTTATGTGGATGATATGATTGCAAAGTCTGAATCAGAAGAAGAACATGTCCTCAACTTGAAGAAATTATTTGAGAAATTGAGAAAGTATAAACTCAGGTTAAACCCTGCCAAATGCACATTTGGAGTAAAATCCGGGAAGTTGTTGGGCTTCGTGGTTAGCCAAAAGGGGATAGAAGTGGATTGATGAATCAATATTTTCTTCACTTCACTTGGTTTACTGTACTAGAATTAATCGGGGAGTTGTGCTTAATTGTCCAGTATTTTCCCATTTTTCTTAAATGTGCTTAATTCGATCAGAAATTCTTATTTTAATTAATTTGAATTATCTGAGATAATTATTTGCATTAGTAATTGAATGGAAAATTTTGGAAATATAAATTGGGACATTTGGAAAAACATTCTCACACTGTGTTTAGAAGAACCTGCACTGCATTTATTTATTCTGTGTGTTGATAAATATTTTTCTTGAATTTGCAATAGCTAAGGTCCATTGGAAAATTAATTTGTTGAAAGAAGACCACATGGACTCAAGGGAGCTCACGGTTTTTGTTTTTGAAGAAAGCTGCTGCCATTGTTCAAGCATTCACGGCCAACACATGCATGGAATTGGAAGGGATTAAATTGAAGTGGGAAACACATTCTCATGTAGGTGCATGGTCTTTGGAAGCAAGTGGAAATCAGAAAAACACCAAGCTAACTCACGGCTATCATCACACAAATGAGTAGTCTTCTTTCTTTTAGATGGGAGACAACATAAAAGAAGTAGGGGCCACCACCATTGGTTGAAGAAGAAATCAAAGTGGCTTAGAAAGACAACACCACACGGCATAACACATTTGCACCTCATGGCCAAAAACATTTCTCACGCATAAGACAAAAACAAAGGAAGAAATGGGAGACAACAAAGTAGAAAAATGGGGGCCACCATTACAAGAGCTTCTCACGGTTTTTTGTTGAAAGGATGACTTGGCAAAGCTCAACAAAATTAAGGAGTTTCCAGCTGGCCACATTCCACACGGTTTGCAACATTGGCAAGTCAACAAAAGGTAAAAAAAGGGGCACACTTACTCTTGGCTGGAACGTTTAGGAAGAGAGAGCAAATTCAGAATTTGGAGAAGCACAACATCACACGGCCAGCAGCAAACACAAGAAGCATTGGTTTGGACCAAGAAGCATTTGGAAGTCCAGCTGCCACTTGATGATTGGAAGGGAGACTGCATGCTTGCTGAAAAACATCTCTCGGTCCATGGATTCTAGGGAGAAGGAGAGAATGTTTTTCTTGGGAGAGGATGCAGAGGAGAACAAAAAGAGACCACGGCTTAGAGTTAAGGGAGCTCTCTCGGCAACTTCTCTTTGGGGGGAGGAGGCTCTTGGATTTTCTTTCATTTCCATTATTCTACACACAGAGAAGATACAAGGAGTACACCAAGCATGGATTGAAGGAGGAGAAAGCAAACTGGTGTGGAGACTGGAAGGAGAAGCATACGGCCAGGAGGAATCCAGGCACCACTTGTTTGTTCTTTTACTTTGAATGTTTTTACTTCAAGAGAACTGTAATGTGTTTTTCATGATGAATGAATTGGTTGATGTTTATTCCTTTTCTTGAATTCTGATTGCATATTTCATTTTGTTCCCTGTTCCTCTATAAAATCTCTTCTTGCATTTTGTAACCTCTGGGAAGGTGATTCACGGCCTTGTGTTGAACCAAAGAACAAGTTCATTTATTTTGCTTTTGCAGTAGAGTAGTAGATAGATTTCCATCCAGTAAAAGAAAATAACACAGTATAGAATGGAAGGTTACGGTTGAAGCAAAATGGTGTGCACGTTTCAATTTTATTTTCCTATTTGCTGTACTAAAATCTTGCACAATTTAAATTCAAAGTTAGTTTCATGTTGTTAAATTCTAGGATAGTTTACTGTTTTTTATTTTTCTGTTTTTAAATTTCTGCTGCAATTTAATTTTCTGTCGTTGTTTGCCTGCCGTTAAATTTTTACTGTTGTTTTCACTGTGTTGTTTGTGATTTCATTTTTAATCATTCGCCGTAATTTTGTTCTAAATATTTTGCTGCTGTAATGTTGATTGTGTTTTCATGATTGAAATTTACTGTTTTCTATTTTTACTTTACTGTTTTCTGTTTTTACTGTTTACTGTATTTTCGTTTTCTGTATTTTCTGTATTTCTGTATTTTCGTTTTACTGTTTCAGATCTGTTTTTAATGTTTCATGTTGCTGTATTTTCATTTTAATTGTACCAAGTTCGTTTTTACTGTTTTAATGTCGTTTTACTGTACTGTTTTGAAATTTATTTCGACGCTTTTTAATTTATCTGCAAACAAAACTTTCACAAACCCCCCCCCACTTCGTGTTTAGATCTGAGACTGAACCCAATTTGGTCCTTTAGAGACGACCTAGGAGTCACTTCCTAGTAACTGTACTGCATTAATTATATGCACAACTTTTGCGAGAGGCGCGACACTCTCGTCATGGATCCTGACAAAGTGCGAGCGATATCAGAAATGCCTGCGCCTAGCACAGAGAAGGAGGTTCGCGGTTTTCTGGGTAGATTGAACTACATTGCTAGATTCATCTCCCAATTAATTGCTACCTGCGAACCAATGTTCAAGTTGCTACGGAAGAATCAGGTTATGGTTTGGAATGAGGATTGTCAAGCCGCTTTTGAAAAAATCAAACAATACCTGCAAGACCCACCTGTATTGCGTCCACCCGAGCCAGGAAGACCACTCATTTTGTACTTAACTGTATTGGAAAGGTCAATGGGTTGTGTATTGGGTCAATATGATGAAGCTGGAAAAAGGGAGCATGCGATATATTACTTGAGCAAGAAATTCACAGACTGCGAACAACGATATTCATCGTTAGAGCGAACTTGTTGTGCATTGGCATGGGCCGCTCATCGCCTAAGGCAATACATGTTGAGTAACTCTACATTGTTGATATCCAAGATGGATCCTATCAAGTTTATTTTTGAAAAGCCCGCTCTCACTGGAAGGATAGCTCGGTGGCAGGTGCTATTGTCAGAGTATGACATCGTATATGTCACTCAGAAATCCGTCAAAGGTAGTGCATTAGCAGAATACCTGGCGCATCAACCCATCAATGATTATCAGCCAATGCAGCCCGAGTTTCCTGATGAAGATATCATGGCTCTATTCAAAGAAGGCAGGAAATACCGAGACGAAGAAACATGGATATTATTATTTGATGGAGCGTCGAATATGATGGGGCATGGCATAGGGGCAGTACTAATCTCTCCAGAGCAGCAGTATATGCCCATGACATCAAGGCTGTGTTTTGATTGCACGAATAACATTGCAGAATATGAGGCCTGCGCTGTGGGTATTCGGGCGGCAATAGAGTTCAAAGTGAAAATTCTGGAAGTATATGGAGATTCAGCTTTAGTCATCAACCAGATGAAGGAAGAGTGGGAAACAAGAGACGCAAAATTAATCCCTTACCAGGCATACATCAAAGGATTAATGGAGTGTTTCGACATCATCACATTTAACCACATACCACGGGAAGATAACCAGTTAGCAGACGCGTTGGCTACTTTGTCATCCATGTTTGAGGTTGACCCGAATACAGAATTACCAGTGATTGAAATGAAGAGCCATACGGAGCCAGCATATTGCCAGTTCATCAAGGAGGAGGTGGATGGTAAACCTTGGTACTTCGATATCAAGCACTATCTTAAGACCCAAGAATATCCTGAAAAAGCATCTGAAAACGATAAGAGGTCGTTACGAAGGTTGGCTGGTAGCTTTATTTTGAGTGGGGACATTTTATACAAGAGAAATCATGACATGATTCTCCTCAGATGTGTAGATACAAAAGAAGCCGAATTGATATTGAAAGAAGTGCACGAAGGTACGTTCGGCACACANGAACCCAATTTGGTCCTTGAGAGACGACCTAGGAGTCACTTCCTAGTAACTGTACTGCATTAATTATATGCACAACTTTTGCGAGAGGCGCGACACTCTCGTCAAAATGGCGCCGTTGCCGGGGATCAATAGTGGTTCAGTTTTAGGTTTTTTTTTTTGTTTTGTTAATATTTGTTGTATTAAATGTTTTGTCTCGTGTTGTGATGTGATGTTTTGTTTTCTGTATTCGTAACGTGTGTGTTTTGTCTGTTAAAAAAAAATGTGTTTTGTGTTTTATTTGCTTCGTGATTTTTAGTGTTTTTATTTGTCCATGTCTACCAATTTTGATTACGTGAATTCTGCTTATTCTGTCGATGCCTCTAGCTATGACTCTTATTCTGCATATTACTGTGATTTTAATTCTGCTGATTTCTATGATGAGAACAATATGTCTCATCCTCAAACTTTTGAGAGCTCCCTTTGGGAGCCGGTTCCACCTACAGAGGATGATTTTTATTATGTTCTAAGCACTGGACTGACATATTTGCTGCCTAAGTTTCATGGTTTTGCAGGAGAATGCCCACATAGACATTTGGAGGAGTTCCACATCATGTGCTCTTCAATGAAGCCTCCAGATGTCCCTCTTGATCACATTTTCTTGAGCGCATTTTCGCAGTCATTACAAGGAGCAGCTAAGGATCGGAAAGACTCTCTTCCTCTGAGATCCGTTACCGATTGGGGATATCTTGAGCATCAGTTTCTGAGCAAATTTTCCCTTGTGCAATATGCTTACAGCAACGGTCTTGGATGGAATGACCCTACTTTGGGATGGTATAATGCTCCACAGCATCAATATCAAGAACCACCATTCCAGAGTACTTTCATGCCTCCACCAGTCCAGCAATATCAGAGTCAGCAATATGATGCTCCTGTCGAAATAGCTCCTCAACATTCTACTTCTCAACCTACATTAAAGGAGTTACTGGAGCAAATGACCATGCAGAGCATTCAGTTTAAGAAGATCCAGCAGGAAACTCAAGCTTCCATGCAGAATCTGAGTGATCAGGTCGGGAAGATGGCCACTCAATTTACTGAGGAACAATTTCAAGATGACAGTGCCATCAACATAGGAGATGAGAACCAGAGTCACGTGCTCACTGCACCACCTACTTTCACATCGTCCTATGTTCCTGCTCTTGCACCTGAGAAGACTGCTAAAGATTTTGAGGACCAGACAAGAATAAGCAATAATTCTGAGCCAGGTAGACCACCTTCATCTTCCCACACTTTGCCAATCTTCAAGGAAGTGGAGGTAAGCATACCGCAAATGGATTATTCTGTTGATTGTGTTATTAATGATTATGTTGTTGATTGGTATGCTGATGATTGTACTGTTGATGGGCATGTTTTGAATTCTCACTCTCTACATGATGATAACCAAATTTTGATATCGAATCCGTATGTTTATTCTTCATACACTAAACATGAATCTGAGTCTGTGGTTGATATTGTTTCTGAATTTAAAAGTGATTCATGTTCTGAGAGTATAATTGAGGTTCAATATGATAATTTGGGTGTTATACCTCTGCATGTCAATACTTTGGAACCGCATCGCACTAACCCTATTGCAGGAGGCACACATGAATTTGATCAACATGCACCCACAGTAGAAGACAAAGGTGCAAGCATAAACAATAGGCATCTGCAGAACCCGCTCATCAACAATCTTTGTTTCTTAGATCCAGCTGTGGAAGACATTTCCCTGCTTGATCATATTTGGAGGATGAAGCAGTTTGTCCTCAAAAATTCTGTGCTGGATACTGAAGAGAAAGACCTCTCCCTACAAGTCCAAAATTGGCAACTGCCACCATAACCCAAGGGAGTTTTCTTTTTCCTTCTTCCCCATTTTCCTACTTTTATTGCACTTGTCCATGATCTGTTTCATGTTTTGATTGCTGATCTTATGCCTAGAACACATTGAGGACACTGTGTAGTTTAAGTGTGGTCTATTGGGGGAGATTCTGATTTTTCTTTGTTAGTTTTTGTTTTCTGTGTTAAATTTTTCATTTTGTGTGTTCAATTTTTTCTGTTTTAATTGGTTTTTAGTGTGTCTTTTGTGCAACTTTACATGTTTCTCTTGATTTATGGATTTTATTTGTAGATGTGTCCATCACTTCATTGATACTTGTGGGTTGAAATTCTTGCTTTTCTTTGCTTGGGAAGATGTTATGATGTTTGAGAGGTTGATTGATTGTGACAGAAATTACCCTGTGCGAGATTTGAGCCACTTTCTTTCTTGCGTGTGATATGTCTCTTGATTGTTTGCACATATGTCTTGGCTTGACTCTTATTGATAATTCTCGATTAATATGCATGTTTGGAAATGATAAAGGCATTTTTGTTCTTGAGCCTCTCTAGCCAAATAAGCCTACCCTGTTATAATCCTTTGATAACCCATTTTGAGCCTATACTTTCCTCAATTCTTTGTTTTGAAGCTCATACACTAGCCCTAAGTGAAAACCCATGATTACCTTAACCTTAGGGAATTTTGGAGCTTTAGAAGTGTTTTGGAAACAAGTGTGGTCTCCCTGGGGATTCTTATGAATTGGTTAAATTGGCTCTTCTTCTTGTTTTGTGGTTGTAAATGTGTTGTGTAT